TAGGTGTAAGAGCAGCTAGCGATGGTGTATGAGAGTCAGCAGCAAAGGGAGGGCAGCAGGAGGAGATGCGGCAGGAGGAGAAGTAGCAGAAGCGGTGAAAGCAGGGCAAAAGAGCAAGTAAAAAGTGCTAAGTAGCATGAGAGTGAGTAGAAGGACAGTAGCAGATTACAGAGCAATAGCAAGAGAGGAGGCAGGAAGAGTGTTGAAAGGAGGTGGCAGATGAAGCAGGTGCAGCAGGAGACGGTGCCGTAGATGTAGGAGCGAGGGAGAGAGTAGAGAGATTGCAGTAGGTAACATCTAGGAGTTAGAAAAGGGACAAGGAGAAAGAAGGAGAGTAAAGAGAGCGGTAGATGGTAGGGCAGGAGCAGCAGAAGATAGGGCAATGGGACCGTAGGAGGAGAGGCATGCAAGAGAGAGAGGCAATAGGTGGGAGTGAGATTGTAGCAGACGTAGCAGTGGATGAAGGGAGGCAGGAGTAGAGAGGCAGCAGGCGACCAAGTGGGAGCAACAGAGAAGGCAGCAGAAGAGAGAAGTAAGAAGACAGTGGCATGCAATAGAGGGATAAGTAATAACATTATATAAGGATACAAAATACAATAACTATATTTTGTTTTGTATAGAATATAGAAAACAAGGTACAGCAATAGAGTTAGCAGGACAGACAGCACAATAAGATGGGAGTAGGAGAAGCAACAGTAGAAGTGGGAGTAGACAAGTGATGGGGGTAAGGTAGAGAACAAGGAGATGGTGGAAGTAATCATGGTGGAAGTAATCATGTGGGAGGGGTGTGGGGGGGATAGGCAGGGGGGAAGTGTAAGAGTCAATAATAAGAGCAGCAGGAGAGAGGAGAAATTGGTGGCAAGGGAGGACGAGCAGAATAGGAGGCAGGAGAGTAGGAATGCAATAGCAGGAAACAGAGTGAGAACAGCAGAGAGGAGAGCAGTAGGTGAGTAATGTTAGGTTAGTGGAGAGATAACAAAATAGAGTGACAGGCAATCGAGCAGGATGTAAGGTTCCATGGATAATGGTATGTCCTCTAGGAATCTTGGTTGGTTCTCGGAGATGAACGATAGGGTTCCTTGTATAGGTGTCCCAGGGGTGACTCGAGGGTGACTCGGGGGCGACTCGAGGGTGACTCTGGGGTAACGCATTGTCTGAAAACCAAATGTACTAGGAAGTACTGAT